TTACTTTGAGCATGGTCAATCATTATCAGGGAAATCCAGGTGGAGCTCATTGGATAGGAGTTAAGAATATTATCAAGTATCTGCGGAGGACTAAGGATTAGATACTTGTACTTGGTGGTAGTGATACGTTGACAGTAATTGGGTATAGTAACTCCAGCTTTCAAACAGACAGTGACAACTTCTGTTCTCAATCTGGATGGGTGTTTACCTTAAGTGGAGGAGTGGTAACCTGGAAAACTTCCAAACAAGAGACAGTGATTGATTCCACCTGCAGATCAGAGTACGTAGTGGCGAGCGAAGCATCAAAGGAGGAAATTTGGTTGAAGAACTTCATTGGAGATCTTGTAGTTGTTCCAACCATCAAGGAGACAATGGAAATTTTATTGGATAATGAAGGAGTCGTTGCCTTAACTAAGGAACCAATAGATCATGGTAGATCATTACATTTTGATAGAAAATACCATTTCATCAGACATAAGGTAGAATAAGGTCACCTTGTCGTGAAGAGGGTATCACCATAAGAGAATCCTACAGATCCCCTCACAAAGGGTCTAAGTGGGGTCAAACACGTTCAGCAAGCTAGGAACATTGGTTTGAAAGATGATATTAGTTTTAGTATATAGATAGTTAATTGAATATTGTAACAAAGTAAATGTAATTGACTTTTAGTGATTAAATAATAAAGAATTATTTATGAGTTTGTTTACTACCTTTTGTCAATTCTTTATTATTGTCTTTCATTTTGCGTGTTTTACTTCCCGAATAATTTGATTATTCAAAATTTCACTGTCAATCTTACTTTAGATATAGCAATGGTATTGTTGCAATGTTCATGAGTACTTGAGATGGAGATTTAAGTATTAAATTAACCCACGCTCAGAGAATTACTTCATGGAATTTATCACGAGTAATTCTGATATGATAACATATTATAATCTTTAAAGGGAGATATATGAGTCGTGGTTTACAAATCAGTTGTACATTGATGATATGCAAACGCATCACTAACTTGATGTTATAAAACGTATTGTTGTGCATGATTTGATTAGTAAATGGTGCGAGCATATTAGTCAAAGTTTATTTATTTCTTTTTTAATAACGGGAAAAACGGTATCTTTGGGCCCCTCGGTGATTTGGTGTTGACTTATAGCATTGGGCCCGACCATGAATTAATTGATCTATTCGATTAGAAATTCTATGTCATTACAAACCTGAAACCATGAAACCATGAAACAAAGTATTGGCAATGAGATTGATTCTATTCCATGTCTCATGTCTGAATGATATCTTGCAGAACAGAGGATTATACGCTCACTTATCATTGGACATGTAACTAACTTGATCAGAGTTCTACAATAGCTTTTGGAAACTACAATTTGTTGACCAATTTAGAAGTTATACTGGAAATTATAGTTACAAACTTATCCAAGTGGAAGACTGTTGGATTAGGTATATAAACACATAACTATAAATGGTATAAACTTGAATTGATAGTAGCACAGTCCTTTTGGGTTGCCCTCAAAATGATTTATTATTTGATTAATAAATTGAAATAAATAATTGCTTAATATATTATGGAAATAATATATTAATTGCAGGGACTGAAGTGCAATTGTTTAATAGTTGAACAAGAGGCATTCTAGAACCCTCCATGAGGCTATGGACGATTTTAAGGAGCCTTTAGGGTTTCTAGAATAATCATTGGTGGATAATTAGGAAGTTGGATAATTACCATGTTCAAGATAATATTATTATATTGGGTTTGGGCTTATCTAGGGTTTCCTGACTGCACTATATAAAGGCCCTTAGGGCTATGATTTTCGGCCACTCATACCATAGAAGAGTTAGGCCGAAAATTATGATGTCCTTCCCCTCTCTCCTCAATATCCTTCTTTCTTGTGCTGGTGTGAACCACTAAAGTCACAACGTTTGTGGTGCTTACTTCTAAATGATCAATAAAAGGGTTTCTTGATTGTTTGCTTACACAATCAATAAGGTATGTATCTCATCTTGTGAATTAAGATTTAGACAATAAGTTTTGTAGTTTTGATAGTTCATAGTATGTCGCCTTTACGTGAAAGACATAGATCCTTCATAATTTGCATATGCCCTAATCATTTATTTATTAAATGTTTTTCCTCTTAGTGCATAGAATTTTGTAACCTACATTTTCCATCAGATGGAAGCTTGTTATGTTCCAAAGTCTAACTAATTTTTTTTCTCTGAAAGTTGATTTTTTTTGCTAAGCTTCATCATTGAACCTGACTCATTAAGAGATTACCATTCACAGTCAAAGCTTCGATTGTATTCGATTTCAACATTTTCTGTGAAATGTTCAGCAAGTGAGCTCACAATTGAAGGTACTATCGAAGGTATTGTTAAAAAAAAATTGTGTGTTGAAAAATTACAAAATTCCAAATAGAATTTGTTTATTTTTATCTTTTATTTCTAAAAATTCAAAAAATTCCAAAATGATTATCTTTATTTTAGTTTTTTATTTCTAAAAATTAAAAATTTCAAAAAGATTTTCTTTATTTTTGTTTCAGTTTTGTCTTTATTCTTGTACTATCTTAGATATATCAATGTAACATGTGCTGACGATCTGCACGTAAAAACAAAATTCAAAGGTATAAGGTACTCTTTGATTCTCAATGACTAGTTAAGTGTCCCTAGAATCATGCTGCAACATGTTGTCCTAAGCCTCATCGATTCTTTGTTTGAAAATCCTTAATGAGAATTTTCTTTTAAGAATTTCCAAATAGGTTGTATTAACAATAGTCATCGAGCTACCTTTCGCTTCTCTCATTAAGTTAAGAGATGAATTCTTGATCATATTTCTAGCAGAGGTACAATGGTTTCTTTTATTCAATCTTTTTTACTCTAAAATTCTTACACATTACACACACAATTACGCATATCCCAAGACATCTTTAGTAAAAAAACAACTAGGATGTAGGTGTGCCAAAATTATGTGTTAATGATCTCTAAATCATTTTTACTATGATGAGAGTGAGACCCAACAAATAGAAGCCTTTAAATGAATTGACGCTGAACAACTTATTGTTCTAGATTTTTACAAGGAATTGACGGATGAAACTTCGTGTTTCAATGTACATTTTCAAACATTCAAAATTTTATTTTCATTTCTTTTACATGGTCTTAATGAAATGTACTTATCACATGTCATTTTCTTCCTAAGAGATCCAATATTTTTTATGAAACGAGATTTCCGTTTGATACTAGATAAAATTTTTTCTTTAGTCACTAAAATTGTTTCCAAAGCTTACTTGAAGTTGATTACACTGATCACTGAAGTATTTTCTTATATTGTTTTGCTCTTATGTTAAGTTGCAAACTTGTTTAAAATTTAGTTACCTTTGATACTGGATAAAAGACGCCTATCGATGCTTATCTAAAATTATTCGATTGTATTTCATAGGAAACCACACAAGCACTTTGATTTCTCTCTTGATATCGAAGGAATAGAATCTTTGACCAAGATCTTACTACTTTTATACCATTTCAATTCAAACACATTGCACGAGGATCCTCACGGTTTTGGGCATCACCAACCCATACCAAGATCTTGCAAAGTCTGGTTTATGATTTCACTTAAAGTTCCCGTAATTGAGTGAGGCCTAGCCTTAACTATCGAAGATTGCTTATTGGATTCTATCAAAGTTTGGTGACTGTTCAATATCGTTCTTAGTACAAAGGTAACCGTTGGGAGGTAACATACTGCTACGAATGCTTTCTCTTGGATGAAGAAAATAAATTATTACAATTACACATGGAGGATTGGGATAGTGTCGCTTCGCTTACTTGCTTTACACGTGGCACATTTTTATTTGGGTGATTGATTCAAATTCAAATTTCATGCCAAGTTATAAAAAGGGTTTTAGACGGTTCCATTTAATCTATTTTTATCTCCTACATTCTCACAAGAACCCTAACCATATTTCTCTCGATTCTTTGTATTATGTTTCTCTCGGTTATCATGGCAACTGCTCAACCTGTTGTTAATCACTTCAGCACTACTGACGAGGGAGTTTATGATCCTCAAATGAAGATTTAATAGAATAATGTTTGGTTTAATCCTAACGTGGTGGCATATCCTGAAGAATTGAAGATGCTCATTCAATGCTTGAACAATTCAGTTCTTGCTCATGCTTTGACGTCTTCTTTTTCAATTCCAATTTCATGGTTATCGCTTGTATGCTCAACTGATGTATAGAACAAGGATATTGAAGTAGTTACGTTTCAGATGGAATCAAAAGGCACAAAACATCTATTGAAGAATCATTTTACATAAATTCTTCAATTACCATATGAGGGTCTATTTAAAGCACCTTCGCCTGACCAGGTACTTCACATGATGAATGAAATGGGGTATAATCGTCCACTTTCTTTTATTAGTGGTTTTAAGAAATTTAGTCTTCCGATCATGTGGAATTTATTCTTTGGGGTTACTCTTCGATGTTTTACGGGAATGAGTTGTGGTTTAGACAAAGCCAAACTTCAATTCTATTTTATAATGGATAGCTTATACTATGGTCTTAAATTGGACTATGCTTACTTGTTATGGGATGAATTCACAACCCATTTGAAACACTCGAAGAAGTCAACTAGGATTTATAGTGCTCGATTATGGAGTTTAATTATGCGTGAAGCTTACAATCAAAAAAGAATTATGATTCCTAAAGGAGCTGAAGTTGCTCAATTTTCACATATGCAGATTACTAAGGTTGTCGTAGATGATCCTATTGCATTTCTATTCGTTAGGCATATGCCAAATGCAATGCTTCACCTAGTGTCTAAGTCGAATCAATTGTTAATTCAATACAAATCATCTTTACATCTTGCATCTTGCGCTTTCTGCTTCTATTCCTAAGCTAGTGACATTTAGAGTTAAAGAGGGTAACACTAAAGTGTCACATGTTGTTGATGTTAACAAGAAAGCATCATCCAAGCCTAAAATAGTCGTTGTTAAATAATTTTCTATGAAAACTGTCACAGAAAAGAAGAAGTCCAAGTCGAAGCTCAAGGGTTTTGTTCTTAAGGAGATTCCTGATGATGAGGAACAAAAAAGAAGAAGCGAAACGATGTGGGTATATTGAAAATATTTTTGAAGATTAGAGCTCAAATTCTCAAAGATCACCCTATCACAACTAGGCATAAAAATAAAGTTCTTAATGAAGCTAAAGTTAGAGAGGAGACTTCGATTCCTAAGTCGATAACTGTTATTCCACCCGAAGGTTCTATTGCCAATTCCAATTTAGAGGAGGATAGGTCTTTGAACATCACTGAGAACTTATCTAATACATACTCAAATGTTAACATGGGTGAGAATCCTTTAACTTCTATTCTAGATTCTCTGACTGTTCAACCACCACCTTCGTCACCACAAACAACTTTGCTAATTCCGCATACATCAGTTCCTCTTAATTCTCATACTTTAGAAAATATCTTGAAACAACCCGTTAGTGCATTGCTCTCTTCTCACTCTACTAATCAAGATATGATGATTATTAAGGAGGATGAACATATTGAATTTGCTGAATTAGAATTTGATCCTGGGGATGAAGATGTGGAAGACCATGCAATCATGTAAGGGAAACAATACAAAGTTCTTAACTCTAACTTGAATACAATTCTTCAGTTCCTGAATGAGTTTTCGACTTTTATAACTTCTTCTGTGAGTAAAGACGATGTTGAGTTTCTTTTGAAAGCTTAAGAAATGAAGACAAAGACTCTTATCATCAATGCAGTTTCATAGCTGGAAAATCGTCTTACAAACAACATGACTTCTTACAAGTATCATATTATAGAAGTTCAATATGTTTCCCAAGGAGACATGAGATATTTGAGAAGATGGTGTATTCTTCAAAAAAGTCTGTTGTTTTAAAGATTAAATATTTGATTAATTTGGTTACACAGGAAGTCACAAAGTTGGATAAATTTTGTCTTGGAATTCTGTAGAATGCAGATGTTCTTCTTGGTGCTACAAGAATATTAATCGAAGACATTCACACTTTCAATATGTAGTGGTGTTGATTATGATGGCATGTGCAAAATTAGAAAAGATCTAGTGAATCATCATGTAAAATCAAGAACACAAGGAGTAAATAAATCTGTGTAAGCTCATATTAGATTTAGAAACGATATACAAATGGGTTTGTATAAATTTCTCTCTCTAGACTAACACTCCAAAATGATCATTCTAAATACGAGTGTCATTAATTTCCTATTTATAGGAAAGACAACTCATTTACACATCAATAAGGGTAAAGCACAAATACATAAGAGTGTGACTTTGTAGCCTAACATTCTCCCCCTCAAAGTTAGGATTGGATGTCCCGGTTTCAGTCTCCAACAAGCTAGCGCGATCAAGACCAAACTCCCCCTCAAAGTAACACCGGTATTCAAATCCGCAAATGAATATCCAACAAACCTGCTTCGAATACCCATCATTCTCCTTCTTTTTATAATCAAAAAATGATTATAAACTCCATTAAGGGTGAGAGGCGCCTGACATATAAACTTCAAAATACTCCCCTTTAATGTGTACCAAAAATGAATCACCAAAAATCTTCCATGGAAAAACAATCATGAAAAAGCCTCAAAAAAATCCAAATTCATGAAAAAAATTTACTTTTTTGGGTGAAAGTTGCAAGATTTTCCAATATCAGGGTAAAAATAGTCAATAACATAGTTCAGCATGGACTCATTGCGCCTAAAACAGCTAAATATGCGAAATTCTCCCCCATTTGCGAAACTGGATAGAAAATGTTAATTCGCAAAAATTTTAGGGACCAAAAATGAACATTCTTCAATTTCTCAGAAAATTAGCCCAATGTTGAAGTTGGGTATTTTTTGCCAACTTTTCGAAATTCAGGGACTCATTTTGAAACTTCTGCATTCTTCGTTTCCAAACTTTTGAATATCAGTCGAAATTTCGAATATGCGTATAAACTGTCTAACTTTCGAAACCTTAAGGACCAATTTCAAAAATTTGTATTTCTTCCCCAATTTGATATCAGGGAACGAAATCGCTTTTGCATTCGTCAACAACCATTGACTATTCGTTAATCAGCAACAAATTTGCTTTTTGACAAACACCCTTTGCTTTTAAGTTCAAAAAATTCAACTAAAGAAGCTACAATCAACAACCCTTCCCATTTCGTTATCAAAACTACTTCTTCAAACTTTCGAAAGTTTTATACCTTTTTCATGTCTTTATCCGCTACAAAATCCATAATCTTCGTGTTTTAACAAATCAATAATCTTTGTTAGTTGATATTGATTCAAAAATCATCGTTAGTCGATGTCGATTATCAAAACAAACATCAAGCCTTCCCGATTCATTATCAAAACCTTTAACAGGAACCTTTCACACATCAATCCAACAATTACCATCCTTCAGAATCAAGCATATAGCCTTCACAAATCAAGCAGTAACGAACTCAATTTTGACCCCAAAAGCGGAATCATACGTTTCGACATCCAAAACAATCACCACAAAACGAAGTCTGCCATCATCCCAAACCTTCGTTTGTATTCCCAGCCGAACATCATATTAGTCAAAATTGACTCCAATCAACCATTCGTTATTTGTTAATCAACGAAACCAAGCCAACATATTAGTCAAATGTTCAATTTGTGACTTTCATTAATTTGTTCTGGGCTCCAAATCACACTTGACTTGAACCATTTTCGATTTTCACTTCAATTAAGGGACTTTCGTTCCAATCAACAGTCGATCTCGATTTCTCATCACCAATCCTTCGAAATCAAAATCAATTTTTCTCCATCTATTCACTATCAATCATCGACCATTGAGCCTTTGTTTCAGGTATCAACCACCGACTCCAATCAACATACAAAGAGTGTTATCAAGAACACAACACACCCAAATTTGAAATTAAACTCAATTTCAACTCTATTTCGACATCCACAACCTCAAAACAACTGGTACCTATCGATTTCAGCATACAGTTTTCGATTCATCTCATGAATCTCGACTTTGACTTGTTCACAGTTTGACTTTTCCACATCAAAGATCAACAAACACCAAATTCATGATTCTATTGCCTGATTTCAAATAAAAAACGTGATAAACTAGTTGTTCTAAACCTACTTCAAGTATTCTTTCCCAAGATTAAAATGATCAACGAATCAATTGCCAATTTCAATGTTTTGACTTGAATAAAGTCAATTTCATCATATACCAATCATATGAAATCGAATCTCGTTTTTAGACCATCAATTAACATCGATCGTGAAAAAATGAGAAGATGAGATTAAGAAATCAAGAGCAATTGATTAAGAAGATGATGAACTGAAAGTACAAGTAATACATGCATGTGAATACTTTTACTGATGAACAGTAACTTGAAAATCAGTTGAATTTTTCGGATTCAATTAAAGATATCGGATCTTTAAAAAATAAGTGGGCTCTTAATAATTGATCCGTAAACATTCTCAATTTCAATATGGTCTCAAGAATTATATGAACAGTACCAAGTAAAATGGATTTGAATTAATAGGAATTGATGAACAGTGATATTTCACTAGATCTTGGTCTTTCAAATCTGATTACAAGAATTTTGAATTAAAATGATTTTGATTATGGTTTGGGCTTGATCTACAAAAAATTTTGTTGGATCAACAATGTGGTAAAAGTGGATTAGATCCAACGAAACAAACCGATCAAAAATGAAAAACACAAAGTATGTATAGAATTCATGGACGTTTTGGAATCCATTTGAGAATTTTCAATACCTTTTTGATGAATCGATTTCCATTTTCAATGAACGAAACAAATTTAGAAGATCTTGGTTCTTTTGTGGGAATCAGAAAAACTCCAATTTGAACATTGTACCACCCACTATGTGTGTTGTACAACTCGTTCTTCGTGTTCTTCAACGATCCAAGAACATCTTCAAAAGAATCATCAACACTTTTGGGTTTTGACTTCAAATTCAATGCAACCTTGGGGAGATTGTTGCTTTGGAACCCAAATTTTCTTCACAAATTTCAAATTCACAACAACATTTGATGATTTTTGTGAATAAACCCTCTTGTTCTTCCTTTTAATATTGTTCTTATATTTCTTTCTCATCTTTTTTGCATCTTGAAGACTTGATTTCATGAACAAACCCACTTTCCACAACATCAACTTTGTGAATTTGAATGAAATCTTTTGGAGTTTGATACTTGTGAATTTCTTGAAGCACCGGTTTCCGATAAGGAATCATTCCTTCAAACAAATCACAAGAACACAAAATATCATCCGTTTGAACTCCAATCGAGCAACAAACTTTTTCATCATGAAAATCAACTTGAACTCTTTTTTCTTGAACATCAAAAACATCAAGAGCATCATGATCATCAAGAACATCTTCAACAAAATTAAGAGCATGAAGATCACTTGGGTTTTCAACAAGAGAAATATATGTCTTATTATACAAATCTCTCTTTTCTCCTTCTTTTTGATTATCACTTGCAACTAACTTGAATATGAAAAGATCATACAAACATTCAATCTTAAAAAGTGGTTGAAATATCAATCTTCCATGATCATCCTTCAAACCTCCATAAGAAATCAAAGTTTCTTGTGAAATCAACCCACTTAACACGAATCCATAGAATTGAAATTCGTTGACCTTCTATTTCACACCTTCAATGATTATAACCCAAGAATCATACTCCAAACGCACCATGATCATAAAAACTATAAGATTTCACAGAAGTGAAAGTATCGATTGTTCTCAGTTATTTGTCATTAATGTCATATCTAAGTCAAAAGACAAAGAAATATGTAATGATTCGATGATTATGGTTGACATTGACATACCCTCTACTTTGAAGGTTAGTGATTTCGATCATGTTAGTGTCAGAGATAGTCAAACTGATAGTAGTGATGATGAGAAAGAGGATGAAGTTTAAAAAAAATTCAATGTCCGAAACGGAAATTTCGAAAGAAACTGAAATTCCAAGAGTTGTTGTTGATCAAGTGTATGGACACACTGAAAATTCGACAAAGTGATGACTGAAAAAGGTGCTCATTATTTTAAGACAAATAAAGTTGTCTATTCAAATTTCAAGTGCACAGATGATGTTATCTTTCCTAAGCAAGCATTTATCATTGCTAGGTATGTTGATTATATCAAACCGAAATTCAATAAAATGGTTGAAGAAGATAACAATAAATTCTCAGATGAAGGATTCTTTTCAAATCAAAGCACTGTCGAAAATAATCTTACCAAAAATTCGTACACTTCTAAAATACAAAAACCACAAAGAAAGTGGGTTGAAAAACAAGAGATTTCAAAAGAAGTTTCAAAGCAAGATGCTATCGAAACTAATCTAAACATTAAACTCAATTCACAAGAATTCAAAGATCTTGTTGAAAAAGTTTCAAAACAAAATGGAATTTCGAAAAGACAAGCACGAAATAAATTTTTTTTTGCAAGTTGTGGAAAATGAAAAGAAATCAAATGACTAACAAAGAAAACGACTGAAAAAGTAATGTTTAAATTTGTTAAGACGAAGTCTTTAACACATTCATATGTTAAGAAAAATCATGCTCAATTGCAAAAGCCTTTTTCA